AAAATCACGATTTCGGGGGATTTTGGTGTGATTTTCAGCGCCTTGACAGTAAAGTGTCTTCTCGAAACTGAGAAATTTTCAAGTTGCTACTTGCAAGACTTTGCCAGTTACGAGTTTTTAGGCAAAGACACGAAGGTGCGAAAAAGCTTCCATTCTGAGACCAGCATTGACTGACCGACCAAAAATCCGGCTTCCGGGCGATATTGTTGAAACATCCGGCTTTAAGAGAGTTAAGTGTCTTCTAGCAACTGAGAAGTTTTCAAGTCGCTACTTGCAATACTTTGCAAGTTAGGAATTTTTAGGCAAAGAAACAAAAGGGAGAAAAAGCTTCCATTCTAAGACCATCATTGACTGACCGGCCAAAAATCCGGCTTCCGGACGATTTTGTTGAAACCTCCGGCTTTAAGAGGGTTAAATGTCTTCTAGAAACTGAGAAATTTTCAAGTCACTACTTGCAGTACTTTGCCAGTTAGGAATTTTTAGGCAAAGAAACAAAAGACAGAAAAAGCTTCCATTCTAAGACCAACATTGACTGATCGACCAAAAATCCGGCTTCCGGGCGATTTTGTTGAAACCTCCGGCTTTAAGAGGGTTAAGTGTCTTCTAGAAACTGAGAAATTTTCAAGTCGCTACTTGCAGTACTTTACCAGTTAGGAAATTTTAGGCAAAGAAACAAAAGGGAGAAAAAGCTTCCATTCTAAGACCAACATTGACTGACCGGCCAAAAATCCGGCTTCCGGGCGATTTTGTTGAAACCTCCGGCTTTAAGAGGGTTAAATGTCTTTTAGAAACTGAGAAATTTCCAAGTCGCTACTTGCAGTACTTTGCCGGTTAGAAATTTTTAGGCAAAGAAACAAAAGGGAGAAAAAGCTTCCATTCTAAGACCAACATTGACTGACCGGCCAAAAATCCGGCTTCCGGGCGATTTTGTTGAAACCTCCGGCTTTAAGAGGGTTAAGTGTGTTCTAGAAATTGAGAAATTTTCAAGTCGAAACTTGCAGGAGTTTGTCAGTTAGGAATTTTTAGACACAGTTGAGACAAAGTAGAGAAACAGAAATTCTCTAGAAAAGGGGGCCCTGAAGGGCCCCGTCCAGGGGAGCAAGCGTTTATTGTTTACCCACACTTGGGGGGCCGACAGGCGCCCGTCAGAGTGACGGAGCCCGAGATAACATAGAAAAGTTGGCAAATTCTCTCGGAATGTCAGCCGGACAGTTTTATCGATAAGCCTTATCAGCCCAATATGGATAAATTAGAGAACGAAACGTACCTGCCGAGCGGATTCTTGTCCACCTCGTAAACCTCCAGGATGTTCGCCTTCTGAATGACGCCCTCCAGGACGCTGCCCTCCAGCTGGAGCAGCCCATCCTGACTCGTCGGGTAATCCAGCATTGGTGGGGCCCCAATCGCACAAAAACCCACCACAAAACACTGAACCCGTTCCCCTATTTGATGCGCTTTCGGGCGCTTTTTTCGAACCACCGGAACCGAAACGTTAGAACCTGGTAACGGTCGGTTCACCTGGCCAGCGAACAGCTGCCTGTTTTTTGGCGATTACGACGTTAACTTTAGGGGCGCCGGACTGCGAATCACATATTTCACGGGGCTGATGATGGACGAAGGGCACGAAACACGCAAATTCAATGAAAACATCAAACACATTCAAGCCGAACAATCCGAAGCTTCTACTGCTCGCTACGTTCCTGCTTGCACGCGACTGACTGACTGACTGACACTGACAGGAGGCGAGTCAGAGGGTGACTGGTTTTGGTGGCGCGGCGGTGCCAGATTGACCATGGTAGGGAGCGTTGGGCGTGGTTGCGCGCTTGGGCTGGAAATCTTCGCCGATTAGTTTTGGAAAATTTCACATTTTCTGTCTGGTTGACGTTTATTCTGCCGGTTGGGACGTTGAAATTGACAATTTTTAGAATAACTTGCGCGCTTTTTATAAGGGTTAATTTTTTTAAATTTGACTTTTTTCCAGGCCTAAATCCTGCAGGTTTATGAACCGATCAAAATTTGAAAATTGGCATTTTTCAGAGAAAATTGAGCGCTTTTTGATGAGGTTTGATTTTTTGAAATCCGACGAGCATTAAAAAAATTTCCCGCAGGAAAGCAATTTTTTGTAAAAATTCGTTTTTCCAACCTTAAATGCCCGGGGCGATCTTCTAACGCAAAAATATTCCTGAACACTTAGATCAATCGGTTTCGTTAAATCCCCATGTCCTGCAGATGTTGGCATTGATTAAAATTTGCAATATGGGTGGTTTTAAAGAAAATTGCCAGCTTTTACATAAAGTTTGATTTTTTCAAATCCGACCTCTATTAAGAGAGTTATGCAAGGAAGTGTCCCTGCAGGAAACATAAGCTTTTGGCAAAATTGCGCCTTGACTATGAAATGATTGAAAAAATTATAATTGAAGTGAAGTGAAGGCCTGCTGTGTGCTGTGCTAAAAATTTCAGAATATTCATGCGTTAGATGAATGCCCAACAAAAAATTATTTTTACGAGAAAACCTACTTTCCTGCAGGGACAATTTCTGGCAAAACTCTCTTAATACCAGTTGGATTTTTTAAAAAATTGCAAAACTTAGTCATTTAAAAATCCGGCAGGGCATGAGAATTATTAATTAGAATAATCCTGCTGTTGCGTTTTTGTGAAAAATACTGGCTTTTCCTGCATGAAAGTTTTGTCGCGTAACTCTGTTAATACCAGCCGGATTTGAGACAATAAAATTTCAAATTTTATTGTAAAGCGCAAAATGTTCTTTAAAAATCCCCCATTTACAAATTTTAATCGGTTAAAAAACCTGCAGGTTATGAGGTTTTACAGGTCAAGTAAGATAGTGCTGAGCCAAATTTTTTAAATATTTATGCCTTAGATGAGTGCACAACGCAGTCAAGGTCTAAAAAACAAATTTTTGAAAAAAATACTTTTCCTGCGGGGAGCCTTTGACGCGTAACTCTCTTAATACCCGTCGCATTGGAAAAAATAAAACTTCATTGCAAAGCGCTCAATCTTCTTTAAAATTCGCCAATTTGCAAATTTTGCTCGGTTGAAAAACCAGCAGGAAATGAAAGTTGATGGGTCGAGTAAGATCCTGCTGAGCCAAATATATTGGCATATTTATGCTTTAGATGAGCGCACAACTCATTTAAAGCCCAAAAACTGATTTTTGAAAACTTCTCCTGCAGGGACCTTTTGACGCGTAACTCTCTTAATACTAGTCGGATTTCGAAAAATAAAACTTCATTGTCAAGCACTCGACCTTCTTTAAAAATCGCAGTTTTAAAAATTTTACTTGGTTGAAAAACCAACAGGAAATGATAGGTGGAAATTCGATTACGGTCCTATTGAGCCAAATATTTTGCAATATTTATGCTTAAGATGAGTGCACAACGCATTTAAGGTCCAGAAAACGAATTTTTGAAAAGAAAACCATTTTCCTGCAGGGCACTTTCCGCGCGTAACTCTTTTGATACCAGTCGGATTTGATAAAATTAGACTTGATTGTAAAACGCTCAATCTTCCTTAAAAATCACTAATTTGCTAATTTTACTCGGTTGGAAAACCAGCAGAAAATGAAAGTTGAAAGGTCGGGTAACATCCTGCTGAGCCAAATATTTAGAACTACTTATCCTTTAGATGAGTGGACCCCGCATTCAAGGTCGAAATAACGAGTTTTTGAAAAAAACTTTTCCTGCAGGGAGCTTTTGGCGCGTAACTATTTTGAAACGAGTCGGATTTAAAAAAAATTAAACTTGATTGTAAAGCGTTCAATCTTCTTTAAAAATTACCAGTTTGCAAATTTTACTCGGTTAAGAAGCCAGCAGGAAATCAGAGTTTAAATTGTCGAGTAAGATCGTGCTGAGCAAAATATTTTGGAATATTTATGCTTTAAATGAGAGAAGAAGGTATTCAAGGCCCAAAAAACTAATTTTTGGAAAACACTTTTCCTGCAGGGAACTTTTGACGCGTAACTCTCTTAATACCAGTCGGATTTGGAAAAATAAAACTTCATTGGAAAGCGCTCGATCTTCTTTAAAAATCACCAATTAGCAAATTTTACTCGGTTCAAAAGCCAGCAGGAAATGAGATTTGGAAGGTCGAGTAAGATCCTGCTGAGCTAAATCTTTAGGAACATTTAAGCGTTAGATAAAAATCCTTTTAATTAATTAGTAATTAATGGAAAAAAAATTAACAGAAAATGCATTGATTAATCAATAAACGCAAATAAAATACTTTTTTTTTAAATAGTAATGCGAAAATTAAAAAGAAAAAATTTTCAAACTTCTGACCAGTTTTGGAGACAAATTCTAGTCGCAATGGAGAGCCCAAAATGGGTTTTTGGAAGAAAACGTCTTTTTCCTACAGGACAAATTTATCGAGCTCTAAAACAAGCAAAGTTAGAAAAACACAAAAAATCGCCAGTTGCTACTCTCTCTGTTTTTTTTCTGGTTAGTAGTGAAATGAATGTAAAAAAACATTTTTTGACATTTTTCAATGTAGAAAATAAAAATTGTTGTAAATTTACATCTAAATATCGCTCATTCTCACACGTGCCTAAACAGTGTAATAAACTACCGAAACGAATGTTTCCTTAGAAGCCCCATCTGCTGTCCCTTTCTACTTGCATGTATCAAACAGAGACACATAGACGGCCTGGACGTGTACCCAACCAACAAAAATACCTACTATTTTCTGATTTTCCAACCATTGCAGTCAACTGCCAGAATTAGTTCCAAAATTTTCAGATGTTTTCCCAGTTGATTCACCCGGAAATAACAGGAAAAGCGACAAAGTTTTTCCAACACCCCAATGGCAACGCCGCACGATGCCGCTCAAGCAACAAGGCAACAGGTTGGTTGACAGTGTGACCGTTTGTCAATTAGTTTGTTTATGTTTATGTTCCATTAGTTATTGTTTTTTAGTTATTGGTGCTTTTATCGCCGGTTTCTGAGGCCAACTTACATCTGCAAACTTCCGCCCTAATCTTCGGTAAGTTTCGGCCCGTGAATTGGGGCCCACCGGCTGAAGTAACCTCAAAACCCCGCGCGGGTTTTTGTTGGTTGATTTTCAGCGAATTTCTAACGATTTACCGGTGGAAAAGGCCCCTGAACAGGCTTTATTGGCTAGTTTTTCAATCAGCAGCCAAACCCACTTAGAATTGATGATGGTTTGCTTGTTGGACCCGTTCAGTGTATTTGGCACGTTCCTTTAACAAATCATCCTTAAACTCGACTGTTTCAGCTGGAAAAGAGCACAATCACTTGCGCCTGCTTTTGAGGCCTCCATGGGATGGACTGAGGGCCCTGTAATCCATTTTTGGGCCCCTAAACTCGTTCATTCATTAGGCAAAGGCCTGGATGGAATCTCTGGATCTGCAGCCCTTCCTCTAAGGTCAGTTTGGTAAAAAAGGCTTAAACCCAGCAGGAAAAGCTTTTTGAAAAGAGGCAGCAATTAGACAAAACAAAGTTTTCTCAAATCGCAGCAGGCGTTTGCAAGTTATAGCGCTTTAAAGTATGACGCATTCAAAGCCTTCCCCCACCCTGAAACAAGCGGCTGACGTCATAGGGCTTCTAGCAAAAACTAGGCAAAACTCCTCCAGCTTGGTGCCCAGGTGGCCAAAAGTATGCAATGAATTGGGGATTTTTTGCAGAAACTGCGATTTTTAATTTTCAGATTTCAAATTCGCCCCCTTGCGGCCAGTTGCGGAAGCTGAAAACAGTTTCAAAAAATTCCTCTCTGTCGCTTTTGTCATAAAAGTTTTTCCCCGAGCTTCTATGTACAGTATTTCTGCGATTATTTGAACATGTTTGTCGAACATAGTCATGCTCTTAGTGTGTCAGTGTTAAACGAGTTATAGTTGACAAAAAATATATGTGAATTTTATTGATCAATTTTGTTGTGTCGTTTTAGCATGGGGCCGCATAGTTTTATTGCATAGTCATGCTTTTAGCCGACGGCAAACATCCGAAAATTGTTAATACATTCTTAGGCAAAAAGTTCTTGTTAGTTCATGCTCTTAGTATGTCTCAGTGTCGAATGTCCTCAAGCCTCTAACAATTTTCCGCGAATTTTATTGATTCAATGTTTTTATGCCGATTCTGCATTGGAACGCGAAATTTTAATGCATAGTCATGCTCTTAGCCCAAGTCAAACAACCGAAACATTTTTAAAATATTTTTAAAATCTTCAGTAATTGAAATTTAATTGACTTTTTCCATCTCGGATCGACCCAATTGGTTACTTACTCATGCTCTTAGACATCAAAGGTGCGTGGAATTTGCACACTTTTTGGAAAATCTTGAGTGGTCAAGATTTCGATGTGCATTCTTCGGAAAATTGCCCAAATGTTTGACTTAGTCATGCTCTTAGCGTATAAAATTTTGCGTAAAATAAGTGCCGCCTTTGAAAAATCTTCAATAATCGAGATTTGGAGGAGGTTTGCCTCTGATTTCTTCCGTAATTAATTGCTTAGTCATGCTCACAGTGCAGCAAGAATGCGTCAAATTCGTTATTTTTTCAGAAAATCCAGCCTGTTGGAACTTTGCGTATGCATTTTTGCTTAGAAGGGCCGAAATTTTGCACTTCGTCATGCTCTTAGCCCAGCAAATTGTGCGTAAAGTAGACAGTGGCATTATAAAATCGTGAATAATCGAAATTTGAAGGTATTTTCCATCTCGGATCGCCCAGCCTGATTGCTTAGTTGACCAAACGTGTGTCGAATTTGCAAAATTTGGCAGTTGGCAGCGAACGGTGCACTTGCCAATGAATAGGTCCCAACTTCGAAACTAAACCCGCTAAAGACGTCAAACTTTGACAGTTTGTGACCGAAACGTCAACGTCAATTAATTAAAAAGTGTCAGTCATGTGAAGATTCTAGAAATTTTTGTAAACACTCGTAAACTGGAAAATATAGCGAAAAGTGAACGGTGCACTTGACAATAAATAGCTCCCAACTTCGAAGCTAAACCACCTGAAGATGTCGAACTTTGACAGTTTGTGGCCGCAACGTCAATGTCAATTAATTTAAAAAATTTATCTATGTGAAACTTCAAAAAATATGTATTTTTAAAATCTTTACTGAATCGCTTGGTAACAAGCAAACGGCGAACTTGTCAGTGATGAGCAGCCAACTTCCATACCACACGAATTAGAAACGTCAAATTTTGATAGTTTGTTGCCGAAACATCGACGTCAATTACTTAAATAATCTCAGCTATGTGCAGCTTATAGAAACATTTTTTTTTCAAATTCTTAGCTGGATCACATGGAAATAGTGGATCGGCACCCGTGACAATGAATAGCTTCCAACTGTCAAACCTCACCAGCTGAAAACGTGAAGTTTTGACAATTTGTAGTCGAAACGTCTGCCTCCAGTCCCCAACAGCGTTATTCGTGTAAAACTTTTAGAAACACTATTATCAAATTTGCAAACTGAATAACACGGATGAAAGCGATCGGTGCACTTGACAATAAACAACTCTCAACTTCGAAAGTAAACCAGCTGGAGATGTAAATTTTGGAGAGCTTGTG